ACCGCCCTCATGTGGACGAGGGGCCGGATCAGACCAGGCCTGAAGGTCAGGAGGCAGGACACAGGGCGGGAGCACGGAGACCCTGACGTGGGCCAGGGAGGCGGACGGTCCACAGGGGCCGTGTCTCCAGCTGACGGACGTCCTGGTTTCCTCTCCCTGACTCACTGGGCGTTTGATGATATTCTGGGTAAGCGCCCGCCCGGATGGGCTCTGCCTTTCCCCGCACTCTCTCCGTCCCTTTCATCCGTGACCCAGTTTTGCCGCCTCCTCCCCAGGAAGCAGCGCCCTTTCTGGGGAATTTCCAGAGGGGTGGGAGCTGGCCGGGCGCTGGGCTGCGTTCTGTTCGCCCCCCACCCTGTGGGATTGCGAGTCCACCACAGCATGGGGACCGAGGCTTAACGAGGAGGGAGCCCCACTGAGGCCCCGCAGCCAGGCCTACTGCTCCCCACACCCCCTCCTCACCTCTGACCGGGTGGCCGGACCTCAGCATTTGGGAGGCGCCCGGAAGGGGGACATGCAACTGAGGGCCATGCCCGAGCCCTTCCCAGGAGGGGGCCTGGAGAAGGCTCCGGAAGACCAGCTCTCCTCCCAACAGTGCTCCCGTTGCCTGGCAACAGGTGGCCGTCTTCACTGGCAGCCCTGGGGAGGGGGTTCCTGGCTGTCACAGTCAGGGTCCCAGAGCCGCCCGGCCAGGCTTTCTGCAGACCCTGCACCCGGCACCTGCTGTGTCCTGCCTGTTGGCCGGCGAGGAGGTGTTCACGGTGCTGCCCCCAGGGCCCAGCGTGCAGTCGGTGCTCGTAAGTGTTTGCCAAGTGAGCAAAGCAGAGAGAACGCGGAGAACAGAGGGAATCAGGAGAGAAGCACGAGAATGCAGAAAACGGAGAATCGGGAAAATGGAGAGATCCTTGACCTTTCAGCCTTGACCCCTGACCCTGACCCTAACCCATTTTCTCCCGATTCTCTCTGTTTTGTGCATTCTCTCCGTTTTCTGATCCTCTCCCCAGAGGAAAGCTACCAGGCACCTGCTGGCTCTTATGTTCACTGTGGACGCTCCCTCCCGGTGAAATCTCTGTGAAGACAAGAAAGATATAGGTGTTTGTTTGTTTGTTCCTGGCCGTGTCCCTGCAGCCTGGGACCGTGCCGGCACACAGTCCATGCTCAGTAAGTATCTGAAGGAACCAATGCCTGTTCTCTCGTCATCTGTCTGTCTTCACTAATTCCCTCCATCATGTCCCGCCTCCCCGGCCCCCACCCGTCTGCCTGCCAGTGCCCACACCCCCTCAGCCCCCGTGTACTTTCCGGGGCCCAATACCAGCTGCGCCCGGCGTGCGGCCAGCACTCAGCGCCTATAGGTGAGAGTCCTGACGGTCAGCGCCAGGCAGGCCCGGAGCCAGAGCCGGGTGAGCCAGCGAACATAGGGCATGTTCTGGGGGGATGTCCCACAGCCCATGGGGAGGACAGGCCCTGCCCGGGACAGGGGACCACTCACTCCGCCTGGGAGACTGTTTGCAAGTCCCAGGGGTCCAATGGACAAAGGACCTTCGGAGGTGGAAGCAGAAGATCGGCGCGAGCGCGAGCCCGAGCGCCCCCTGGTGGCCGCCACGGGCATTGCGGGCAACACACTGGGAGCCTGTCAGACTCATCCTGGTGGTTTCCGTTGCCATGGAATTGTACACGTTGCTTCACGTCATTCCTTTGCTGATCCTGACTCTGGGCTTGTCTTTTTCACATTCCCGGATCTTGTATATTTTTCTTAGGTTTATCCGGTGTTTCTATCATTTGTCTTTGGGGTGAAAACAGAGTGAAGTTAAAACACTGATGAGAAACATCGATCGGCTGCCTCCTGCACGCCCCCTACTGAGGATTGAGCCCACAATCCAGGCATGTGCCCCGACCGGGAATCAAACAGGTGACATCTTGTTTCATGGGACAACTGCAACCATTGAGCCACACCGGCCAGGCCAAACTAGTTTGAACTGTATCATCTATTTGCCCAAGACGACGGCTGGGTTCCTCCCAGCTCCCTGGCAATCCCCATCTTTCGGTCTTTGGGTTCCTTCAGGCGTCTCAGGGCATTGAAGCTGGACTCGGATGAAGGGACTTAGGAGCTGACGTTACGGAAAGCCGACTCGCACACTGTTGACAGGTTTGACGGAGTCACAACAGGATGACGCCAAGTCGGCAACTGCTCCCAGGAGGCAGAGGCTTAAACTCATCGACTGCCACCTGGAGACTGTGTGTGGGACAGGACATCAGATAAAAGACGCTGCCGACCTCGCAGGATGGGCCTGTCAGCTGCCTGTGAATGGACCTCTGCCCGCCTGCAGACCCTCCTACGCACGCAGAGGGCTCCCGGCAGCTAGCGCGTGTGGCCAGCTGCGCGCAGGGTCAGCACAGACCACCGGGCCACTGCGTGTCCTCTGAGGGGAGGGGTGCGGTCTTCCCAAGCATTTCCGCGTGCAGTTCCCACATCGTCTCTGAACAGCATGCGTCACCTGCACGCTGAGACCGAATGTGTGCAGCCCCCCCTCCCCGAATGCTGAGGGCCCAGGACCTGCCCAGGAAGCGGGAGCCGGCCCAGGGCCCAGACACACAGCGCGCGCCCTCTTCAGGGACCGGCTCGCACGCCCGCGAGGCGCCGGTGGACAGACGAGCAAGCGGCTCCTTGGGCTCTGACTTCACAGAGGGCCACGCCTTGTCGGAAGGAAAGAGCTTTATTTCGTGTGGAATCTCCATAAAGTCAGTTATAGAAGCGCCCGGTGAGCTCTCGCCCACAGGACGTTAAGACACACAGGACACTGGTCGCCACACCAGCCGGCCCCTCCCGGGAGCGCTTCCCCCGACGGCCCAGCACCCTCTTCTAGGCCAGAAAACTGCCTGTCATACAGGAAGAGTCTGTGACCACAGTGACCAGGACGCATGAACTGAGAACATTTCAACATCTTCCTACGAACCCCAAGGTGTAAAAAATGGGGGATTATGTCCCTTCAAGTAGGTTCTGGCCACAGATGAGCTCAAGTCGCTGCAGCTCAGACGAGGCTCACGTGGACGACGGAATAGCTCCTCCGCCCCGTCCTGTCGGCGCTTGTCCGTCACCCACTCACCCTGGTGGAGGTCAGAGGTCAAGGACACGGTCGTCAAGGGGACAGCAGCCGGCCTGGATGACGCCCCACCTGTGTGACGCCCCGTGTTTTAAACTCTGCAGGAGAAGTGACTGGAACCTTTCAGTCCTCACGGAGCCCCCCAGCCCCCGGGACCTGGGTGGCGTTTGGAGAAGTGAGGGTCCCGGCCGGGGCCCTGACCCTGAACACACACTGTGCTTTGTCTGCGACCCCTGCTCGGGGTCCTGCCTGGAGCGCCCTTCGAGCATAAACCCTGCCACCAACGGCGGGTGCAGCCTAGTACTGCCTGGCCAGCCTAGATGTTTAAAAGGGGAACAAGTACTTAAGTCTATGATGCAATCGGAGCTCAGACAGTTCCTTGAATTCTGTGTTCCCAATATCTGATTATTCCAGCCACACCCGATTGTAAAGCAGTTTTTATGAGCAAGTCAGCCTTTATCAGATCAAATCATTCCTGCTGATTTTTGCAGAAGCAACTGTTGGTTTTACCCCATTTTCCGGGTTCAGGGGAACTGTGGACTCAGGAGCACAGAGCTTCCGGAAGGAGGGAGCGGAGGGAGCTGGTGAGTCACTAAATGGATGAGAGCACTTCCTGCACCAGAGGCCCCGGCTGCTGCTCTGAAGCAGATGAGTGTCATCCTGTCCCTGAACAGCCGCCACCTGAGGCCATCACATCCGAGCTGCCCCCAGAGCTGTGTGGCGGGGCTCAGGCCGGGAGAGCAGCACAGAGAGCATTATTTACATCTCGGCAGGACCCAGTCACTGGGAAGGGAAGTGTCGCGCGCGCGTGTGTGTGTGTGTGTGTGTGTGTGTGCACGCGCGGGCGCGGGGGACTCTGTCTGCAGGGTGTGGGCACTCATGTTTTTCTCTGAAGCCTGAACCTGTCTGTGCAGCAAGAACAGCACCAGCCTATGAAGAGACCCCCAAGGCCACACACCGCGAGGACAGGCCTGAGACCCGAGCACATGCTCCCGAGACTCCAAATACGAAAGAAAGGCTGCAATTAACGCGCAGGGACATCCGAGATGAACGGAAACATATCTGAGAAAGAGGGTTTGGAATGGAACCCGCAGCCGGGTGGCTCAGGGGTTGAGCATCGACCTATGAACCAGAAGGTCACAGTCTGATTCCCAGTCAGGGCACAGGCCGGGTTGTGGGCTCGAGCCCCAGTGAGGTGCTTGCAGGAGGCAGCTGGCCCATGATCCTCTCTCATCTCTGATCTCTCTCTCTCCCTCCCTTTCTCTGAAATCAATCAATATATATTAAAAAAATGAACCCGCAGCCCATCAGGCTGTGCCCGGCGTGTGCCCGTGCCTGCAGCTCTCACCGATGTTATCACCCATCATCCCCCGCAGAGGGCTCCCCTCGGGGGCACAGGAGAGGCAGGATCAGGCGTGCCAGTTGCACGGTCTGAGAAGCCCAGCTACCGTCCAGTTTTATTTCAACAGGTTTTGGTAAGAGCTGAGCAGCCTGGAGTCCAGCGAGGCAGCGTGACATTCCTCTAGACCAGCGATTCTCAACCTGTGGGTCGCGACCCCTTTGGCGGTCGAATGACCCTTTCACAGGGGTCACCTAAATACATCCTGCATATCAGATATTTACATGACGATTCATAACAGTAGCAACATTACAGTTATGAAGTAGCAACGAAAATAATTTTATGGTTGGGGGTCACCACAACATGAGGAACTGTATTAAAGGGTCGCGGCATTAGGAAGGTTGAGAACCACGGCTCTAGAAGCTGCTTAGAGAGGAGTGGACGAGCATAAAATCACGGGACGCGTGACACACACGGCGGTGCCTGTGGAGACTGACTTCACTGTAACCGCAGGGGCCGTGGGAATCCCTCCCAACGGCAACAACAGGGAGGACGTGAACTTCATTGGCCATCCTGGTTTAATGAACCGTACAGAATGCTTTCACCAACAGCTTTATGCCCGTTATTAGAAGTTAATTATGAAACCTCGCGAGCAGACGCAGAGCCCTCGTGCACAGGGGTGAGCGGGATGTCGAGGCACTTGGGTGCGTGGAGGGAGGAAGTGACCCGCCCCCGGCCCCTCACAGTGACACTGGAGACCAGTCCGACTTGGCAGGAAAGGCCCTCGGCCAGAAATACTGCATCAGTGACGCAGGTAAGAGACAATATTTAGAAAATATTCAGGCTGCAAGGCTCTAGGCTGTAAAAATACAAAGGCTAAAAACAAAGCGTTTATAAAATTGTGCAAACCCAGTCAATTTAAACAAGTAAGAAATCAGAAGTTATCTTTCTTGCAGGATAGGTCCGTGGTGTCAGTAGGTTGTAAAATGATAACACTGGACAGGGACACTCACGCGGCCACATACACATTCCCGCCCCTTAAAGACTTACAATGTGGATCCTGAAACGTCCCAGTGTCCGGCACTCACACACGCACACGTATGCGCCCACGCACACACATGCACCCACAGGACACGACACGTGTTACACGATACATGTCAGACGGAGCACAGCAAGACGTTCTGGTTACAAGGACCTAACATGATTGTTCTGGAAATATTAAAAGCATGGTCATCTGAAAATATTATAAAACTTGTAGGTGAAACAGGACAACAAGGAGCCTTTGAAAAGCCACTGGTTGGCCTTCACTAGTGAGACAGTGTTACCTAACGTCGTCACGCACCCTCGATGCACTCAGCCGCCTCGGCCGGAGGTCACCTGAAAGTTCAGACGGGCTGTGGATTTCCCACAGGATGCGTGGCGGTTCAGGCCACCGATGGACACGTGCGGGTTCCCGGCCACGGAAGCCTACGTCCCTCCTGGGAAGCTGAGACCATTTAGGCTGGAGAACACCCCAGAGAAGGACAGAGACGAGGCGACGGAGAGGCTGGTAGAGGAGACTCCAACGGCGGGGGCGGTGGTGTGAACATCGCCGAGCGCAGAGCCTGCTGCGACCACAGCGCCGAGGTTCCAGCTGCATCACCACGAAACACTAGCTATCGAGCCTGTCCTGACGGAGACGGAGCGGGAGGCCCGGCCACGTGCTTCTGGAGCCGGTAGACGTGGAAGGTCTTGTTCTGAAACACGCGGGTGAAGAGCGCCGCGTAGGCCGGCAGGCCCCTCCGGATCTCCTCGCAGAAGCGGGGGTGGCCTGCCGGCTGCAAACCCGCCTCGTTCTCTCCCGGGCCGTCCATCATCTGAAGCCAAAACAAAACCAAGTATAAATTGGTAAAAAAAAAAAAAATAAATCAAACTTATAAGAAACAACGCGGCAGGGACAGGAGCTGGGTTTCTTCAGTGAACGTAAGGGACGTGGTTCCAACGGCAGTGGCTGCTTGAGGTCACACGGCGTCCCAGCCCCGGGGGAGAGCCGAGGCCGAGGAGGCGGGGGGCACAGGGCGCCCCAACGGCAAAGCTGGGACGGAGCTCGATCTTGTCTGAGGGGGACACGCTGTTTCTCTCACAAACTCGACCAGGAGGACTCGCTAGGACCCAGCAAACCTCAGCTCACTCGGTGGCCGCGTGAAACACGACACAGAGCAGAACGCACACAGCCCGGGGCCGGCCGCCCTGCACTCAAGGTGGTGAGGAGGCACTCTGCCTGGGCAAGAATCCGAGCTTCCAATCCTTCCCCCGGCTCCCCTGAGGCCTTTAGGGTGCGGGAGCAGGAGCGGGTGGTGAATGGAGAGTCACACACGGGTCCGTGGGGGGCGGGCAGGGCTCTGGGCCAAGCTCAGCTGGTGGCCACAGTGCAGGATCTGTGCTGGGCGCCTGAACTTGTCTAAGAGACTAGCTCTTAGCTCTCTGAGTCTGGAACCTTGTACAGTGGCGTCTGCCTGGAGTGCACGTGGACCCGGGAGAGCAGGGACATGGGGTCCGGGAGAGCAGGGAGACGGAGCGGCCGCCACAGCCACGAGGGACCAGCCCACTGATGCTCGAGCTTCAGAAAGGCCGAGGTTTTGGTTTTGGTTTTAACAGCAAAACCTTCCACATGACCCGTGGGCAGAGGCTCCTGACCAGCCAGCTGCAGGCCGGTGCCCTGTGTGCAGACGCCTGGAGACCATGCCGGCTCCGGGCCTGGCCCCTCTGAGAGCCTGGAGCCCACCCGCCCGCGCTCACGTGTCCGTTGGCCACGTCCAGCAGGTCCCGCAGGCGGCAGCCGCGCCGGTGCCTGCGCTCGAAGCAGATGCTGTCCTCCAGGATCACGAAGTCGGTGCCCAGGGCCCCGCAGCAGCGCGTGCACCTCCTCGGGGGGCCTCCGCGCATAGACCTGGTACACCTGCGGGCGGTGACCGATGAGCGGGCGGGGCCTCACCTCCCACGGGGCGGGGCCTGAGCCCTGGACACGCTCCCACCTAGTCCCCGGGCCCTTCCCAGGTCCCACGCAGGGCCCTCACCGCCCGGGTGCGCGCCCGCAGGCCGCTGTCCTCGTAGTGCGGGTGGTTGGTGAGCGTCCTGCCCGTGCACAGCTTGACCCCGGCCAGCAGCTGCATGCTGCCCGCGAACACGGCCGTCCGCGGGGTGTTAGAGCTGAAAGGTGAGTGTCTCAGCCCCAGCGCCGTTTCCCCAGGTCAGGTGACGGGTGGGGGTCCACCTGAATCGTCAACCCCCACGCTCTGCAGAGGAGCCGAGCGGGCATCCTTGGGGTGTGACCGGGGCTGGGACCTGCGCTGAGAGGAGCCGTGACCC